TTGTTGACTATGAATACTTTCCTTTAGATGCGCAGCAGGGAGTGGGATTGCTGCCCCACAGGTGAGTTTTACTCTCCATTTTCAGAGGCATCCTCCTGCACTTTTCCATGGTGGGGTGCCAGGTTACCTGATCTCCCACATAATCTTCCCAAGGCTGACTTGCCCCATATTCCTGTCAATACTCATTTTCTCATATTAACCATCCCAACACTTGTGAGGTAATATCTCCTTGTATTTTTGTGCACTTCCGTGATTATTAGACAGTATGAGACCAGTTAATGTATCTTTCTCCTGCATTGTCTTTTTGAGGAAAAATATTTACTTTTTTTTTTAAATAGAGAGTGAGAGAGGAGAGAGAGAGGGAGAGAATTTTTAATATTTATTTTTTAGTTCTCGGCGGACACAACATCTTTGTTGGTATGTGGTGCTGAGGATCGAACCCGGGCCGCACGCATGCCAGGCGAGCGCACTAGGGCTTGAGCCACATCCCCAGCCCCGAAAAATATCTACTAAAATACTTTTTTTTTAATCAGAAAAGTCATTTATTAAAATTTTAACAGGGAGTTCACAAAGGGACCACAGGAGGACCAGCTAGAAATGGATAGAAACGAGAGCAGCTCTTAGGAACACACAAGGAAATAAGAGCAAGAAGAAACAAAATAAGGGAAATGAGAAAAATTTGAAGTTCACTGCAGACAGCTTTCATTGACAAGTCCTTTGCATACAAGTTCTCTTCTACTAAAAGGGAAGGAGATGGACGGGAGGCCTTGTTTCCTCCCGGAAACACTGGATAGTCGTCTAAAGATAACTGGGTATGTGAGTCATCCTGGTGTTTCGGATGATTAGAGGTGAAGTTAAACTCCCACCTTCTCAGGTCCGTGGAGGTGATGCACCCAACTGCTGAAAAAGCCTGAGCGGATGGAGCCCAGCTACACAAGGGTGGTGGCTTCGGCTTGAGCAGGTAGGGACCCACGTGCTGTAGGCTGTGGAACTCTGGTGAGTAATTTCAACTTTTCTGACCCTTAGTGTCCTCATCTGGGGTGGGCGGATCATTTCCCAAAGTGGCTTGCTCACAGGGCTGGCATGTTGAACATGCCGTTAACAAGACACCTCAGTTTCCTTCCATATGGACCTCTTACTTCTGCAGTATTCTTCTGGTCACATGGACCAAACCATAGGAGAAGAATCCTTTCACAATATTAATTATTCATGGCTCTGCTGGTGCCCGAAGGTCCAGCATGTGTTCTGAGGACAATATTCTGGAGTCTGAAGCTGTGGACCTCTGTCTCAAGAGCCCGGTGACGTTGATGCAGAATAGTAATGTAACTTCTCATCTGCTTTTCTTACTTTGTCTGAGAATTTTCTTGATAGGCCTGGACTGATGCTAAATGTGAAAGAGTGATGTTTATCACTGTCGTTAGAGAACACTTGTAGGCTGGAAAGCTGGAAGGCAGGGTTTGAAGGTCTGCTTATCAGTATTCAGAGAGTAGCCTCTTCGATACAGAGATCTCTGGGGAGAACATGTCACCAGCTGGGTTCCATCTCTTTAACGTTGGAGGTTAAAAACATCTGCATGGCTGAACATCAGTATCTGTAAATTTTCATCTGGTCAGGTTCTGTTCTGTTTGGAAGGCAAGTCTGGCTGCCAAACCATTGGAAGCTGGCCAGGTGAAGATGGATGTGGGCTTTCAATATTCAGTAGGGTTTCCCAGCTCTCTACTGAATTCATGTCCTTCCAACTTGTTACTCCATGCAGAGAGTGAACTTCCAATGTTCTGCTTGTTTTGAATGTCAGACAAGCTCAGTGACTCCATCTGTGATGCAAGAAGTGGGAGTGGTCTAAAATACTTTTTAAAACAATGAATTTCACTGTGTATGTCAAAGCGGACAATATAAGATATAGAATAAAATGGTTACTAGAAAGAAACAAACTAACTGATCCCTCATCTCTCAAAGACACACATATTCCCCCAAGTCAAGAACAGTTATCATCTACACTTTAAAAAACTATGGAGTATGAGAAGGATTTTTCACGTATTATTGGCATTGGAGTATGTGAGCCCTCAACAAAAGTGTGGAAAAAAAATGGATGCTTTAGGCTGGGGTAGCATGCTTGCCTAGCACACATGAGCCACTGGGTTCGGTCCTCAGCACCACCTAAAAAAATGAAATAAAGATTGTGTGTTCACCTACAACTAAAAAATAAATATTAAATTTACATTGTTTTAACTAATACTTAAAATTTTACACATTTTTAGGTTCCAAAGATATTCAAATACAATGTGCACATCTGTCAATCTTTGTGTCAGATTAAGCATATCTATCTCCTCAAACAGAATCTCATATGACAAAAACTCAAAATATTTTTTCCCAGAGGTTTTACAATACATATGACAAGAGATGAACACAGGTCATATAATAAGAAACTATGTTTAACAGAACAAATTATTGACTCTAAAGAGGGAAATATAAATGATATTCATGAAAATAGGAGTATCTTCTTGGTTGAAATTCATGGAATCATTTGGTAAACTCTTTGGCAAAATATTCTAAGACCAAGGAAGTGTAAACCTATGACCAACAAGGGTACCACTATACACATACCAGCAGAACTTCTGACAATTATCATCAAAATTTGTTGCCAGTGCCCATCATGATGCTCCAAACTAAAGTACACATGTTGGACTAGTGTGATTTTGCTGCCATCATCAAATACCTAAGGCTGAGTACTTGATACTGAAATTTATTTAGCTCACACTTCTTCAGATTCAAGAACACAGCACCAGCATCTGCTCAGCTCTGGTGAGGGCCTCACAGCAGATGGAATCACAATGGTGGGAGCACATGCAGAAGAGACCACAGGGCAGGAAAGAGCGAGACAAAGAGGAGACACCTGCACTCACTGTAGGACTGCCCATTCTCATGAGAACCACTATACTCCAGGAGATCAGCATTTACCCTTCCAAGGATAAACCCAACTATCTTTTCCTTGCCTCCACTCCAAAGGTTCCAACACCCAATGTCATCATACTGGGAACAAAGCTTCCAACACATGAAATTTGGGGGAAAAAAACTTGTGTCATACCCACACAATGGCATGTGTGTATCAAGAAAGGAATGCATAAATGTGTTATTTGATATTCCTGAAGTGCAATTCTATTACCAATAGGTAAAAACAAATTTTAAAGCATTTGGAATTTTCAAAAGTCAAACATATGAGAATTCATGCTGAACTACTTCATTTATATAAAGCACAAAAGAGGTAAAAGTGATCCATGCTGTTAGATGTCACATACTGATCCCTCTTGGCAGAGGCAAGAGGAGAGTCTTTAAGACTGACAGTATAGGTTTTGGTGCAGAAGTTGATTGCAGAGGTGTGTGTTGTTTGTAAAATTTCATTGTATGATGCGTGTCTGAATTGTACATAACATTGCTCTTAAGATGCATATCAGTAACTTAAAAATCAGTTGCAACAAGAAAAGAAAAATAGTACCTAATATCCTATATTACCAAGGTGGACAGTAAATGTGTTAAATAATTTTACATTCTGATTCAGTTTTTTAAAAGATAAAATGTATATTGTGGATTAACAGTACAAATTAATGTAGAAAACTCAACACAGTACCTATTGCTTGCCTTTAAGCCCTGTACACTGTTAAACATAAAGGACTAATTTCATCTGCTATAGGCAAATATTATTGTTGGACTATATTCATTGAGATAATTCTTTCGACAGACACAGTTAAGACACAAACATGAAAGTAGATGACTAAAAAACTATGTTACACTTATTATAAATGCTAATCAATCAGAATAGCAAGAAAATATAAAAAGATTTTATGTGAAATCAGTTTGAAATACATTTATTTATTTATTTATTACTGGGGATTGAATTCAGGGGCACTTGACCACTGAAACATATCCCCAGCCCTATTTTATATTTTATTCAGAGACAGGGTCTCACTGAGTTGCTTAGTGCCTCACTTTTTGATGAGGCTTGCTTTGAACTTGCAATCCTCCTGCCTCAGCCTCCCAAACCACTGGGATTATAGGCATGCACCACCAAGCCCAGTATTTAATTGGTGTTATTAAAGCTGAAATTTATATTTCTTACATACAATTTCACAGAAGTGCTTCTTGGTAAATACTAGCATAATTGAGGAGATATGCTCATGTACACAAACACACACACAGACCATTCATAATATACAAAAGAGCATGTATATAAAACACCATTTGCATACAATGATTGCTTACAACTGTGCTTACAATATTATAGGAATGATTAAAGAACTCAGAACTTTGCAAAACCTTAGAATTTACATGTTCCTCATAAAATAGGGTTTTTTCCATTTCTTATCCACCTAAGGGACAGTGTGGATGTACTGGAGTCTCGAGAGCAGAATGGGACTGACAGCTGGGAAACACCCAGACTACTGCAGCTGCGTTCACCAGGAACCAGTTGGGATAATAAATGCAAAACTGAAAGATGCAGGAAAGTGTATAAAAAAAAAGACAAAGGTGCTCACAGGAAGGAGGATGGTTTGGGGGACTCAGGACCCAAGGGAGGACCTGGGGAGCTGGACTTATGAAGGTGCTGTATTCTCTGCTGGTGCCTGTGCAGGATGAGCACCATGGAGATGCTGGCCCAGAGCATGAGCCCCACACCCCCCCCCACACACACACACACACACGACATCAGGGAACGTTAGCAATGCTGTCTGCAGTGAGTCTGTGGTTGTGTCATGACGAACACTAGAACACTCTCCAAAATCTTCTAGGATGGTGAAGTTTTTGGTGCTCTTTTTTCCAGTCGTGTACATAAGAAAATTAATATTTGCAAGGAGTTACAAAATCCTGCTCAGGTATATGGAGAAGCCAATGTACTTGAGAACCTTCACTTTAAGCACTGACCACCTCAGGCTGGTCTCTGGGCCTATTTGAAATTTAGATGGCCCAAAACATTCCAATTAAGAGGACACACATTAATAGACAGGAGATCCATAAGCAGATCTTTAATGTTACTGCACACCAGGTGGACCTCCCACACCAACCCAGTACATTGTATCCTAGGGAAGTAGGAAACGCATCTCTTAAAATCCACAAGGAACATCTATCTACAGGAGGGTCCATAATTAGGTCACACATCTTCAAATTCAGTTTCAGAAACTTGAAAGGACCCCAATATTCTTCCTGTGCACAATGAAATAAATACAGAAGCCAACTGCAGAAGAAAAATTAACACCCCCAAATATGGAGAAATGAAACACCTCATTCTTAACCAACCAATGGTCACAACGGAAAAAGGATTCAGAAAACATGTGAAACAAAAGCAAAACAAAAACAACACACCAAAACTCAGGAAATGTAGTGAAGAAAAAAAAAGAAAATAGGAGAATGTTGGTGTAATTAGACTTTACAACAAGGTCAAAGAAACCCAGGACAGCTGAATACGCATCTCAAGAGGAAATGAGCCAACTAAAGCAAAGGGAAGGAAACACTGAGCGCTCTAGCAGAGGGAGCTGGTAGAGAGGACAGGAACCCCACCAAGCAGCAGGTTTACTTTTTTAAAAGGTTAACAAAAATGACAAAAGGACTCCCAGGACCATGCCCAGTGGTGCCTCCTCATGGGTTCCCTGCCACCAGGTCACAGGGGATGGAATCTAAGTGTAGAGGATGGAGACTGAGGGCGGCCCAGGGGAGTGCAGAGTCATGTCAGGCCAGCAGCTCCCAGACCCAGCACTGCACAGGGGACTCAGGACCACCTGAGAGCATCACTGTACCCCAGTGACAGCTATTCCTGACTCCTTTTCTTTCCTCCTCCTCTTCAGGGCTGTTTCCTCAGGTAACACGAGTCTTTACAAGTCAATCCTGGAAGGAGGAAACGGACTGTTTAAGGCTCAGAATCATCACACCGTTCCTGTGCCACAGCCACACACACAGGGAGGACCTCAGCATGTGGGAAGATGGTCCCCAGCTGTCCACTGCACCAGGGATACCCAGGCATAGTACAGTCCTGCAGAAAGGTGCACAGGAGACTTCTGTGACTCCATTTTTTCGACCTCATTCCACTGCTGGTGAAGCACACACGGGCTGCAGCAGTGGGGAACTGGGCAGCACTGGGCTCCCATTCAGGACACAGTCTGGCCCTGACCAATCTGAACATCAGAGCAGCCCCCCTCACCTCTCCTGGGATCTCAGGCTGATCTCAGCCCTCAGGATGGAGGACACAGAGCTGGTACTCAATGCTGCACAGAAGAAAATCAACATCAACCTGAAGTATTATTAAGGATGGGCACCAGCCTCACTCCATCAGTATGATGCCAGTTAGTGGACATATTTATTGCAAAGTATCTCAGGACTCTAAAGGCAGCCAGGGTTGAACACGTACCAGAGAGGAAAGCCCAGCCCATTGCCCATGCCCTTCCATCATGATGAGTACAGGGCCCAAAGCAGGTGGCAGCCAATCAGGGGTTGGAACCCATGAGTCTGAAACCATGAGTCAAAACAAATCTTTCCTCCTTGTTCTCAGGTGTTTTGTCACAGCAACAAACACAATGAATGACCTGGCAAAATTGTTTAACCGTATCTATTATCCACCAAACATTTACAAACAATAGTTTTCATGGAACTACCATACAAACGTTAGGTAACTTGTCTAAACAGTATTTCAAAAACATTTTCAACAATCATACTGTAGAATGGGACCTACAGGTGCATCAGAAAATGCAAATTTGACATCACAAAAATTGTAAGTTCCTCTATGCCAACCAAGAGCCCAGAGAACCAGGAGTAAACACTCGGGGTTGTGCTGGAGTCTGACCCACTTTGATGTTTATTGTTGACTCCTTCAAGTCTCACTACTCCCTTTCTATGGTGCCATCTGGGCAAGTTGCTGATAACCCTAAGTGTTCCCTTCTTCGGGCAGCAGCTGGGAGTTCTAAAGATGGCCAGGTTCCCTCACTCCAGCACCACCCAGGACCCCCATCAGAGGAGGCAGCCACTTCTGGACAAGTGTAGCAAGTCCACCTTGCGTCCCTGGAAGGCCTCCTTATGCTGTGAACTCTGCAAACACTTCAGTGTTTGGCTTCGCCATTCCTGACAAACCAGCCCAACTGGGTGGGGTTCAGCCCTGAGTTGGGACTGGTCATAAGTGCAAAAACGTTAGGGGCAAATACATGAGTTTCCACTTCACAAACAAGAGAAATTCCATCCTGGATATTCATTCTGAAGTGGAAACTCATGAACGTTAACCTTTTCAGTATATCTCACAAGTACTTCAAGGACACAAAGGTATTCGTACACTTATTCCCTGAATTTTCTTATGTTTCATATTCTTGCTGTAGTTCCATTTTCACTCTATGTAAATTAAGGTGCATTCCATGCAGTTTTGCTAAAAATGTATCATAAATCTCATGTAATAAAATTTAGTCTCTTTTTTATTATTACCAACAATCATGTTCCTTTCCTCATTAGCACAGAAGATAGAGGTATTCAGAAATAATACAGTGCATGTTCCATAACAGTGAGGGCAGGGTGTCAGTCTGAACTACATTTTGTACTTTCATTATACACAGTAAGTGTCCTAGTCAGTCTACAGAGATGGGAACACAGCATTTCTCCAAGGGACTGTGCTTCTACTAAGTGTATAAAGAAAATATATGTGAACATGAACAATCACTTTACAAAGAAAAACATGAGGTATTTCCGCATGGGAACAAATAAAGGGGAGAACATTGGGTGTCCTGTGCACAGTAAAAAGAACACGTACATCATGTCTGTATTTTGCCAGAATAAATCCTCTTAGGACAAGAAAATCGCAAATGTTTGAAAAAGAAACAGTACATTCCTTACACTTGGATGGTTGCTCTCTGGGGCACATGATTAATTTCGGCACAAATTAAATCATTCCTCCTTGTTCTCTGGTGTTTTGTCACAGCTTCCTCAAAGGTGTCCCTTTGATGCCCAGTGGTTCTGAGGCATGGAAGTCTGTCCTATGTGCTGCGATTGTGACGGATGTTGCTCTTTAGTATGGACTCTGACCACTGCTTGAATTCATCATGCAGGGGGTGCCACACTGGCTGCATTCAAGCTCTACCCCTAGGACGTCTTCTCCCATGTTGTGCAAGCTGTGAACTGTGCCAGAAGAGCTTGGCACCTGCAGACATTTCCATGGTTTCTCTCCAGCGTGGATCAACTGATGTCCACTGAGACATGAGCACTGAAGACAGGCTTGGCCAAAGTCATGCTTTTGTGACTTACCTGACGTGTACAGAGGGCTGAGTGCATACTAATGATTTGCCACCTTGGTACATTTGTGAGGTTTTTTCCCAGCAGGAATCCTGATGACAGACTTTTACATTAAGGTCTGTTTATATCAAATTATGGATGAGGTTCGTCTCCATCACAGACTGACTGAAAGTTTCTAAGCTTTAAATGAGGCCTAGAGGTTCAGATATTCATTACACATAGAAGATAATTTCTCCACTAGGAAATAAAGTGGTCTTACATGACTTGTATTCTGACAAAGACTGTGCCTAATTCATTTGTGGTTTTTTCCTAGGATGAGATCTTGACAATCTGCGTGATAGGAAATGTCAGTGAACACCTTGACACGCCCTCTTGGTGTGGATCACATGATTGGCAGGGCCAGATGCACCCGACAGGCTTTGCCACATTCATCACATCCATAGGGTTTCTCTCCACCATAAATGCTTGGCATGTGATGTGCCAATGTGACTGAAGTCCCCAACACATTCATTGCCTTTCTTTTCCTCTTTGGGGGTATGGGAATTGAACCCAGGACTGAAACATGCTCTACCATCATTTTCCCACTGAGCTACATCCCCAGCCCTTTATTTCATTTTGTGAGCATCTCACAATTATGTCCAGGCAGAATTTGCACGTGCCATCCTCCTGATTTTTGCAAAACAGCCGGGATTACAATGTGACCCCCCACCCTGCACACACTGATTACACGTCTAAGGCTTCTCTACACTATGGATCCTTCGGTGATGGGCTAGGGATGAGTTCACACTGAAGACCTTGCCACAGTCATTACATTTGTAAGGTTTCTCCCCAGTGTGGATTCTGCGATGACATGCAAGATGTGAATTTTGACTGAAGACCTTCCCACAGTCATTGCATTTGTAAGGTTTCTCTCCAGTGTGAATTCTGCGATGACATGCAAGATGTGAATTTTGAGTGAACATCTTGCCACAGTCATTACATTTGTAAGGTTTCTCCCCAGTATGGATCCTGCGGTGATGTGCTAGGGATGAATTCAGACTGAAGACCTTGCCACAGTCATTACATTTGTAAGGTTTCTCTCCCGTATGGATTCTGCGATGGCATGTAAGATGTGATATTTGACTGAAGACTTTGCCACATTCATTACATTTGCACGGCTTCTCTCCAGTATGGATTATCAGATGTTCTGTTAGGTATGAGTTACGGCTGAAGCCCTTGCCACACTCACTGCATTTGAAAGGTTTTTCTCCTGTGTGGATTCTCTGATGATTTGCAAGGGATGACTTCTGACTGAAAACACTGCCACACTCATTGCATTTGTAAGGTTTCTCTCCAGTGTGAATTCTTCGATGTTCTGCAAGGTGTGAAATCTGATTAAAGACCTTCCCACATTCATCACATTTGTATGGTTTTTCTCCAGTATGAATTCTTCGGTGACTTGTAAGGATTGATTTTTGACTGAAGACCTTGCCGCACTCATTGCATTTGTACGGTTTCTCCCCAGTGTGGATTATCAGATGGTGAATGAGGTACGAGTTGCGACTGAAGACCTTGCCACACTCATTACATTTGAAAGGTTTCTCTCCTGTGTGAATGGTTCGATGTTGTGCAAGGTGTGAAATTTGGTGGAAGACCTTTCCACATTCGTCACATTTGTAGGGTTTCTCTCCGGTGTGTATTCTACGATGACTTGCCAGGTGTGAAATCTGATTGAAGACCTTGCCACATGCATCACACTTGTAAGGTCTCTCCCCAGAGTGAATTCTCTGGTGGTTTGCCAGGTAGGACTTCTGACTGAAGACTTTGCCACAGTCATCACATTTGAAAGGTTTCTCTCCAGTGTGGATTCTCCGATGTTGTGCAAGGTGTGAACTGTGATTGAAGACCTTCCCACACTCATTACACTTGAAAGGTTTCTCTCCAGTATGAATTCTATGATGACGTGTAAGTTTTGATTTTTGAGTGAAGACCTTGCCACATATATCACACATAAATTGCTTCTCTCTCATACGGAGTGTCTGATGTATAGTACATTGTGACTCTTGATTAAAGGATTTTCCAAACTCATTACATTTGTGAGCTGCTGGAGGAATGTCTGTTTTTGGTTCTGGTATAAACAAACAAGAGCCTATAAAATCATGTTCATATTTATGAGAAATGTTTGCTTTGACACTAGAAGGAATTCTTTGGTGGGCTGGAAGCAAGGAACCATTGTCGAGAGCCTGCTCACTATCGATCCATTTATGAAGGTTCCCTTCATCTTGAAAGGACTGTGGTTCAGGCAGATGTGACTGAAAGCTGAATCCAAGCCAACTGTTGATGAGCACCTTCCCTGCACCATTGCCTCCACGTTCACCTCTGCAACCAGGGGGACTTTCCTCTTGAGTCATAGAAAATCCTGTGTGATGTCTTCCTACATTGCTCCAACAACATAAGTCCCATGTTCTCTTCCGG